ATTAATTTAATAATCATTAGAATTTTGTTTTAAATAAATTAACTATTCTATAAAAATTGAAGATCTTTAGTTAAAAAATATAATTGTGTATATCTAAAAAAAATTTTAAAAAAGTTTATTAATTGTATTTGTAAAAAAAAAATTAGACAAAAATAAAAACCTCACAATTAGATCAATTTCAATGAAGAAACTAAAATATCTTTCTTTTTAAAACAAGAATAAAATTGTCTTTTTAGTGTTTTATTAAGATAATGTAATTTTAAGTGTTTTTTTCTTAATTTTTTTATAAATTTGATTGATAAATACTAATTTCATTAAAAATTAATATAAAAAATATTTTACTAGACAAAATGTATATTAAAAGTATAATTCATTCAATAAATTTATTAAAATACCTTTAATAAAATTATTTTTTATATTATGTTATTCAATACATTTTAATAAATTTTTAAGTCGAACTATACTTTTAATATATAGTTTGTTTTATAAAATATAAATCCCTAAATAATAACATAAAAAACTTCAACAAAAAAATGTAAACTAAATGTAAGGTTATACAATGTCTAGAAAATGATTACATCCATCTCATGGCTTGAACGAATTGGCATCCCTGATAAGAGGTTGGAGTGTGTTCTGAAGCAACTATTCTTCTTAAAGCTGCATTTATTAACTGTGTAAAACAGGCTCAACCAAAGAATTTTCCTTAATTGTTTGAGTTGTAAACACAAAGGATAAGGCATAACGTGCCACTATCTAAATGGAATAAGAAGTTTAGCTCCTTTCATCAAAAAAATTCTGGCAAAAAATTTCAAGGTCTTGACTGATGAGCTCCTAAAACCCAGCTTGTTCAATTTACGGCCCTAAATACAGGAAGAGACAAAAACCTTGTTATACTGAACTTATGAATGTTTAGGGTAACTTTAATCAAAATAGTACTTACTATTGGTGCTTTCCATCATGAAACTGCGCATTCTTTGAAGACTTGAAAGTTTCCAAAAATTCTTTAGCTTTCTGCATCTCTTGCTTCGTCCTTGACTTGTCCCACTTGTGCTCTGCAGCAAGTATTTCAACAACTTGTGGCAATGCACGGCCTGCTGCATCAGTGTCGAGGAAAGCAAGGCGACATCTCCTAGCAATGAAATCAACAGCAGATTCACAGTACTCATGGCGGGCACAGTATGCAACCTCAGCCTCTAGAAAAGGGTATCCATGGGCAAGTCTCTTCCCCATATTTTCATTCTGAAAATTGGAAGACAGGTTTTAAAGGTTAACCATCCAAGCAAAAAATCATAAAAGCATATTGCAGAATTAACTCCAAAATTGTCTCAAACAACTTCACACTTGATCAAACATATCAAAGAAGTAGAAAAACCTAATGGCTAACATAATATAATTCCGAGATCAACAGTTATCTTCTTCCTTTAAAGAAATGAAGCAACACTATGTCATGGTCAAGCACCTCTGAAGGCTAGACCAGTTTATTGTTGCATAACATTTCAATGCATTTTAAGGTTCTACATGAGGTCTTACTAGTAAAAATACATGCAAATCCCCGAAATTCTATCTCATTCAGAGCCATTGTGCATTGAACAATTGAGCAGAATCATGTAATCCAACTGCAGCAGCCACTCAATAAACCAAACTGCTAATAAAGCATAACAAACCAACCTGTGCTATCATGGCCACCCGTTCTGCCAAGGTACCATATGCATGAGATAAGTGCTTCGCCACAGCTGTGTCCATTACCCCAGGAACAATATTACCATTGTATGACTTCTTCATACGTACATACTGCTGAGCAAGAGCAGTAAAAGATGAAAGTTCCCATCCATCTGCACCAATAAGCCGCAGGTTGCGAGTTGAACATCTACCGCCTGGGGTCAGTTTACCAGACTTAATGGCTGCATCAACTGCATCTTCTGCCATGCTGAAACTAGTTCTAGTTAGCAAAAATGTATGCTAAAAAGAAAAAAGGAAGGCGAGGAAAGGGGATCAGGAAAAAAATTGGCACAGCAGGATGGAAAGGCCTAGTTCAAGTTCTAGCAGGGAGAACCCCATATTTTAAAAGCTACAAATCCTTTTACTCCAGGCTTTGTAGTCTAACATTTGGACAAAAATAAAATAATAATAATAATAATAACTATTTATTTATTTATTTGTTTTTAAAAAAAGGCCTTTTCACTGGGAAATTTGTCTGGTAAGATGGAAGTGGCTGCTTATAGGCCATCACTTACAAGTAGAGATAATACCATTAAACACTTCTATCTAAAAGGAAATCTCAAGAAAACTGGCTATTCAACCATAAAAGTTCAGCTCAACCAAATAAATGAATAATAATACCTTCGATAGGTAGTCCACTTTCCACCAGTGATTGTGACCAAACCAGGATGTTCCTCACATACAACATGATCTCTCGAGATGCTCTCTGTGTTCTTTGCTTTAGGATCCACTGCCAACGGACGAATACCACTCCAAGCAGAAAGAACATCTGTACGGCGTACCTGAATTATCTCACCATCATTTCAGCATCTAATAAAATTTTGAATTACAAATAAATATGAAAGAGAAAGCTAACAAGACTCTGCTTTCATGTTATGCTTTCAAATAAATACATAGCTACCAAACATCAACAGAATAAAAGATTTTGGAATTGTAAACCTTAGAATAGACATGTAGAATACAACTGTGAAACAATTGTATACCTTGACATTAAGGTAATCAGAAATGGCATCAAGTATAAACTGAATTTCATCCTCATGTGGCTCTGGAAGTGAAGTGATCATAGTGTTAGAATCTGTAGTGCCAGCTACAGTTCTTCCCAACCATGGGAGCATGAAAACAACACGCCCATCCTTAGTTTTAGGAACAATCAAGCCCATTCCTTCTGGAGAATAGTAGTCAGGGAGAACTATGTGTACACCACTGCTAGGACATATCATCGGTTGTGCATCTTTATCAGCCATTGTCCTTACAGAGTCACAGAATGGCCCAGCCGCATTGACAACAACCTTTGCATATGTATCAAACTCTTTCCCTGGGTATATTATAATGAACAAAAAATATTAAAACAATATCATTTTTATTTTAAAAAATAAGTTATTTTAATTTTTTTTAATTGCTGTTTTAAAAAGTAAGTTATTTTAGTTTTTTAATAAAAATTTATTAAATTGAAA